ACACCCACACCCTTATCAATATTTGACAAGGAGAAGGAAACTGATTTCTTGATTTCTTTGATTTCTGATGATTTCTGATGATTTCTCTGATTTCTAGTCTTTTCTAACAGTGGAAGTCAGGTTTTATCCACTCATCGCAAATCAGTGGAAATGATTGAAACTGCTTAGAAATTAAAGAAAAATCATAAGAAATTATTAGAACTCAAGTACAATCGCTATGAATAATAGAAACTATTGAAAATCAACTAAGTCAATAAGAACCATTAGAATTTGATAGCAATCATTGGAACTCATCACTTTACTTTTTTAGTCTTATTATTGATGGCTTTTTGAAAATTTGAATGATTTTCATTGATTTCCAATGATTTCTAATTGTTTCTAATTGAGTCTGATGGTTTCTTACAACTTTCTATCTCTTCCTGTGGTTATTCATATCCTTAGTGCGTTAGAATGATTTCTGGTGATTTCCAGTGATTTCTAACATAGAAATTAGTTTGTTTCCCTCTTGAAATATGATTTTTAATATTTGACCAATAACTTAATCCGAAAATAGTTTCGGAGTTAAAGTCTAATCAAATTTGGCAACGAAATAATTTGTGCTATGCTTAGTATACTTGTGTATTGGGCTTTATATCTTCCACCATCGTGTCAATATGCTTCACAACGATGATAAAAGCACCCTTTAGAAAAAAAAGATGCTGAAAGTTTGTGTTCTTTGTTCTCTAGAGAAAATGAATATGAGAAAGAGATTTTTGGTGTTCTACATCAAATAGTTCTTATATATAAAGGAGCTATTTAATATAGAACAAGCACATTTTTTTTTCATATTCTTTTTTTAGCGATAAACAACAAGCACATCAACATTTCAGAGGCTGTTTTGTCATCATTGCAAAAAAAACGTTACGTTGGTAGAAGAACATATACTACTACTTAAGGTGAATGTCTGCTTCAAACTTTCCCCTTTTCATCAAGTGTTAGTAGATGCAGACTTTCGAACTCTTTCATATGATAAGTTACATGTCGCAATGCGTTTGTGAATGTTATCGTATTTTTGAAACAGTTACCGGTATGTGGTATTCCTTCCATATTTCTCTCAATAGAAATAATCAAGCTTAATGCTACAATTCTGTTTAGAAAGTTATTCGGTCATTTTATTTTTGATAGATAAGTAGATCATTTTTCTGTACTTTCTATTATTTGATTGGATTGTGTTTAACATAAAAATGGATTTGAGATTAATTAAAATATGGATTCTATCATTTATCGTTGCACTTGGTTTAATGCATCATTCGAGAACACGAAAGATGTTTCATATTGTTTTCATATTATGTTTATATAGTTTAATTGCTTTACTCGGTTTCAAAGAATATGCTATTCGTATTATCGTCTTATATGGTTTTATAATGATAATTTGGACTTTGTATGAGAGACGCTTATTATTCCAAACATTTATCAATCTATATTATATTCGAAAGGACAATAAACTTATTCTGAAAGCATGGACGCCAAAATGGAAAGAAGAGTTTCAAAATGAAAAAGTTCGTTTAAATAAAATAATTTTATCAAAATGGAAACATATTTTTCACGAAGAACTTTCACCAGATGGTCTTGTTCATATTGGTTCAACTTCGATCGAAAATATTGCATTAGCTAAACCGTTTCATGATGTAGCAATTGCTATTACAAGAAAACATCTTCCTCAGAATTTTCGTGAAGATTTAGAGAAAGCTGGATATAAATACGTTGGAGCTGCTCCACATACATTATTCTGTCAAGATCATTGGTTTTTTAATGTAACACCAATGAATGAAATTGGTTCAAAAGGTTATGGATTTGATCTTCATGTGTTATTGCCACCGGCTCACCAATGGCTTCGAGAAAGTCTTAATTTTTGTCAATATTTAACAGAAAATCCAATAGACCGAGATAGATACTCACGTTTGAAAAGTGAAATTGCACAAACTGAAACAGAAATCAACGTGTATGCGATCAAAAAGCAGAAGCTTGTACCTACATTATTAGAAAGATCACGACAATGGGTTAAAACTAGATGAATAAGATTGAAAATAGACTGTTGAGACTAAATTCAAATAAAATAACGGATGCACATCATAAATAACGGTCGCATTCCTTTGTCATATTTATCTCGATCATATTTTATTACAGAAATATGCGCTTAGTTTCAGAAGATTCTCGGTTGAATTCGGTACAAGATCATATAGAAACATTCCGTCTAGTCTTCTTACCTAGGAAGAAGGCCAAATAATAGTTTTCTTCTTGAACATATATGTTTTTTTTAATAGAAAAAAAAACGAGATCATTTTCTTTTTTTCTTCTTTCAAAGTTAACCTTTTCAAGATATTTATTTGTAGTTTTGTGTCTTGCAAAAGACTCTGTCTACTACCAATACTAAAACAATTTACCAATAGTATGTTAATATTTAAGAAAACCATTCGGTTTGGCAAAAAAATACTTTTAATATTTTATTCATTGTGAAAATGAATTCATACTCCACATGTGATATAAAGTACATTTTTCATAAATTTTTTCGGTGCCACTAACAGATATTTTTAATAAGAAAATGAGGCATTCGTTAAATAATACTCCTATCATAAATAAAATGGAGCAGTCGGAAGTAATGGCCCATAGAGACGCCAACAGCCGGCTGTGATCTGTTCCTTATGCTACGCTATAGGAAATCTCAAGAAAAAACTGTAAGGTCACGTCTTTTACAAAATGGTCGATTATGAGAATATTATAGATTTTTTTATATGCGCGTGTTTGTTGAAGATAATTCTCAAAATCGAATTGAACAAAAAATGATAGATGATGATTATATTAGATTCAGTCGATGATCAAGGGAGTTGTAGTGATGTGTGTTACTTGAAATAATCTTTTCAAAAATTAGTTGAACAAGCACGTTTACAGAACAAGTAACGCGTCGGCTCCATGAGCCTCGCTTAGCTCAATCTTGAAAGTACGGAAAGGTGGTGTAGAGCATTGAGTATCACATTATTAAATACATTTTCGAATAAGACTGAAATAAAATAAAACAAAGTCTATCGTGTAAATATAACCATCAAACAATGTTGAAACCTATTTCCTTATCAATAATATATAGTTTTTTTTTCTTTTGTGTGTAAAAGTATTCATTTACGATAATATTGGAAACTAATGTTGGAAAATATCTCAATAGGTTCTTTATTAAAAATGTTTGTTAATGTAAATATTTAACGTATAACTTATTCAAAAAGAAAAGCTTGATAAGATTTTCTTCTAGACTAAAATATCCGATGCATTTCCTGTGCAAGTGAGTGTGGGTATGTGCGTGTGGAGGGTGTTGGTGTGGGTGGGTGTGCGGGTGCGGGTGCGGAGAGTATGGGTGTGGAGGGTGTCGATGTGGAGGGTGCGGATGTGGGTGTTGGCCATCTGTCGACGCATATCCACATTCACACCCGATACCCACACCCACACCCTCATCGTAAATACATCATACTAGCTGGACAAGAAAAACAATCAGTAAGGCAGGCAGCTAAACAATAATGCATTTCTTCTGGTAACTTTAGTTCGTTTTTCTGAAGCTTTAAATATGGCTATCAGCTAGTTTGGACTGCATTGTTATTAGGATCGTGAGGAACAAGCTTTTTTTCGAATCCGAATCCGAATCCCACTTGTTCCCTTGGTCGAAAACAACATAAGATTGTCTTTCTGTTAGAATCCTGTGGGAAAAAGAAATGTTTTGAACCTTCAACTCCTTTTATTCTCCTGGTACTTCAATTCCGAATGTTTGGTAGCACAGACAAAACGAGATATTCCAAATTTTGGTACTTCCCCGAAAAACTTCATTTGCATCGAATAAGATTGTGTCATGTTTCAGATTTATACCACTTCTACTAATTGATTTGTCAGAGTTCATGATTTCAATTTATTGCAGAATTTCGGTGAATCGAACTGCTTAGAATTTGAAATCTATACTATCAATATTACTTTTCGATACATCGGTATAATAGTGATAGATCTAGAAAGATTTTCATTCAATTTCAATGGCTTCTTCTATGTTAGCTACGACATTTTGCTTTCAAAAAGCCTGATTCATGCCTATAAACTGTGTTTAATCACATATTGGAATGATTCTCTTTTATACTGATGGGAATTTCCGGATATTTTCTAAAAGTTTTACATTTATAATTTTCCTTCTCTTCTTCAACAAGACTTCTTTAAATTATTGATGCCAATGCAAAAAGCAGAAAGATAACATTTTCCAGAAATTTCATCTTTTACATAGGAAACCTAATTGGATATAAATATAACGATACTCAGTAAAAGAAAACATTCACTTACATATTCCAATAATTATTGTTTTAGAAATACTGTTAACATTGGACGTTCTTTGGTTGATCAGTATCTCTATAGTTTTAGATACTTACTCTTCGATAGATGAGTAAATATGTAAATGATCGACATAATCCAACAGCAGACTCGACTGCTGTTGTATCGAAAGACCCATCTTCATTTGTTTATCAAGATTTAATTTTTCATGTTCAATCAATTCAATATCAAATGACTGAAATGTCAAAATATCTTGATGATCAATGAAAAAATGAACCGAATATACAAAAAGAATTGAAATCACGTTCAATAACATTTGTTGATCCATATGGGAATTCAATAACCAATAAATATATGGATCATGAGTTAATCAGTACATTGTTTACGAAATACGAAAAGAATTATGTACCAAAATATTTACAAAAATGGATTAAAATTGGAACAATGAATTAAAATAGTATTTAGACATTTACTGATTCGGAACTGAAATCATCTGCATTTGAATATCCAGATGGTTATCAATTTATTACATATGGTAAAGTGAAAATCTTGATAGTATATTGTGAAGATTTATCGTCTCGACAATTGATCCTATCAGTTCTTCTAACAGATACTATAGAAAAGAATCAAATGTAAATACAGAAACATGAAAAATTGTCAAATATAGAACTTAAATCATTTATATTAACTCAAGATGTTCAAGTAAATAAACAAAATTGGAATGAAGGTAAAATACTCAAAGCAGATGATACCATCTTGTCATCTAAGTTATATGAATATAATTGTATCATTATAGCAAATATTCTTCAAGAAAAAGTAAATTATAACTGTTTTTCTTTTTTCATTACATATGATGTGTTTCTTCTATCGAATAATTCTACAAAATCCATTGATCAATTTCAAATTTTTGTGAAAACTCTTACTCGAAAGACGTTTATATTCGAAGTCAATTCTAACACAGATATAGCTTCTGTGAAAGCATTGATACAAAACAAAGAAGGTATTCCTCCTGATCAGCAACGTTTAATATTTGGTGGACGACAACTGGAAGACCATCGAACTCTTTCAGAATATAAAATACACAAGGAATATACAAGTCATATGACACCACGTTTACGCGGTGGAATGTATCATTTTACGAGCGGTCGACAAGATTTTCAAAGTTTGTGAAATTCAGGAACCGAAGCAATAAAAAATGTTCTTGCATCCGAATTTAAACATATGAATCATTCGGAACGCTTGTCACCAGCTGAATTACAAAATTCTCTTTTACAATGGTAAGCTGTTCTTTCAAAATTATTTCATGAAACCGAATATTTTTCCGTACCTAATGACCTTCCACATTTAAAGAACATTATATTATCGATGCCTGCTGATAATGAAGATGAGAATATTGAGGAAGAAGATGATATCTCAAATGAATAATGACAATCAAGTATTGAAAAACAATTACGAGTATTTCATTGATTAGAACCTAATGTACATAAAAATTTACTTATTCAAGAAGAAAAAATGAGACTTAAGGGTGTGTGGTGGTGGTGGATGAATGTGTGAGTGCGGTTGGATGTGGGTGTTAGTGGAGATGAGACAATCATCTACACCCACATCCTCTCTATCGCTTTTCAGGACACCTACCCTAGTGAAACATCTTGTAACCAAGATCTTGGCCAAGATACAAGGTACCGAAATGTTAACAGATCTTGAAAATTGAGGTACAGATATTAATATCCTCATTTTGTACCAAGATCTGTAATCAGATCTTAGGTATAGATCTATAAGATCTTAGCTGAAATATTCATGCTCAAAAATGATCACTAAAAATCGTTTATGGATGACTCTAAATACTACCGAGATAGTCAATCCGAAGTAAAATTTGACGATAAATATGAATCTGAAACTGGATCGCTGCTGCAAACACAAAGGATCAAGTTAGAGACCCACGGTCAGTTTGAAAAACGTTTAAAATCGTCGTCCTCACGAACACCCTTGAACGAAGATCATGTTTTCCTAAATGATTCCGGACAATCTAGCTCAAAGCAGTAGCAAAATCATCGGTAATAGGTACTATCAAGTCAAGATCTTGATGCAAGATGATAACGTTATTATCTTGTACCTAAATTATCAAGATCTGTCAACATTTCTGTTCCTTGTATCTTGGCCAACATCTTGTCACAAGATATTAAGATCTTTGTACAAGATTCAAGATCTTGCTTACAAGATGTTTCACTAGGGTATGCTCCCCTATGGGATATCTTATTTTAATCACAATTTATATCACCAGATACTATGATGTGTACGAAATATTCATAAACAAATATGATTTCTAATGAAGAATTATGAGAGGAGTTCTAGACCGAGACGAATATTGAAGTCGAACTTTCAATTTTTCCTATACTATCTACTTAGACCATTTTAAGTTAGAAACAATTAGTAGTTTGTCTCTATATTCAGAAATGTTCTACTAACTACGTTTGATTAGAAATAATAATTGAATGATTTTATACAAAGCTTGATTTTCAATTTGAATATTTAAGTTCATTACTAATCGAATCAAAGTAAGCATGATCAAGTTTTGGATTCATTGTGAAAATTTCTCTTTGTCATAACATGAAAATCTTGTCTGTGATCGCAGATTTGTAAGCTAATTTCCAGTTCTGTCACTATAGAATTTTTTTTTTCTAAGAAATAGATGCATCTTTTGAAATCTAAAAAATTAATCGATTCGGTTTCCACACGTGTGCAGACAATGCTATTTTTAGAGAAAGAAATACAACTGCAGATGCACTTCACATAATATACACTATTCTAAACGTAGAGAAAGAGGTAGGTCAACATCCATAATCGCACCCAAATATTCGACTAATCAATTTCTACGATAGACTTGTTTACAAGTTAAATATTTGAAACAATCAATTTTCTAGTTGAAAACTTGAATAGAATTTTAAAATTCAGAGCAATTTAACGGTTTCTATATACTGCTGCAACAAGACTTTTTTTTTCTCGAAAATCGTTGTAAAGAAATACTCGTTAGAACGTTGAATTGCATCTGCCACAATAAATTCGAAATCTTCAAGATCAAATTGATTTCTATAATTAAGAGTGCAAGACATTGTTTGAAGATCAACAAAAAGAAATAATAAAATCAAAAAAGAAAGACCTCAAAAATAAACAAATATGATTACTTGCGATGTACTATTTAAAGTTAATGATTTGACTCATAAAATAATTACAATATTATAATGCAAAGTGATTGATCAACATTAAGAACAATAACATAAAAGAAATTTGCTTGAATTAATTTCATTAAACGTATCATTTTAATAATTTTTCTCAAATAAAATGTGTTGGTTGCATGATCCCTATAATATCATTTTTATTGATTTCGGTGTTCTTTTTGAATTTATCATTGTAATTTCTTTGTGCGTCCTAGAGTTTCTGATTGTTTTTTAGGGGTGAGAAGGTGGCGGAAGAAGGAGAGTCTAAAAGATTCTGCAAAACATCTATAAGTTTTTCTCAGAAATTCAACTTGTTTTGCAAAAAAGTTTGAGTTTACTAATCATGACATATTTAATGTAAAATTTTTTCAATATAAGTATATGTCGAAGCAAAAAAGCATAAATCATTTAGTAGTTAGTGTTTATGATTGTTTTAGATATGCATACATGAGTATATAGCACTTAATAGAGGATGGCGGCACATCACAATAGAAACGACATCGACTTTTTGCGAGAAATTTCACAGAAACAATATCAATTTATTCTACGAAATTCCATAGAAAGCATCTTCGATTTAATTTTATTTCAATAAATACAGAAGTTTAGGTGTGAATGAAAATACTGCAAAGAAAAAAGCTATTTTTCATCGATGAATAATTTATAACATGATGTTCTAAAGTTTTTACGACGTTTTCTTTTCTTTTTTTTTGTAAAGATAAAAATCAACAATTATGAGGCATGTTGTTTCTATTTGTGGGCAAAAGTCATATGTCTTGTTTTTTTTCTTCAACGTATCAATCATCCGTGAACAAAATATATAATATTACAGCATGTTTTTTTGCGCAATACTGCTGCAATTATATGCGTCATTGTAAATGCGTATTTCTATTATAAGAAAAAACAACAACAAGATAAACAACTGAAGAATGATACATGGATTTTACTAACTTATGTTCGTTTTTACGCAACTTTCTAGACATCTATAAATTGGTTTTGACTTCGTCATGATCACTAAAAATTCGTCCTATTTTACACATCTATACTAATTTTACTAAGCTGTATGTAATAGAAAGCAATAGTCAAGTGTTGTAGATTTTGGATGATTCGAATTAATTTCAACTGGAAATCTATCTTTTATAAGTATTGTTTTTCATAGTATCTGTATAAAATCATCAAATCTAGAAACATACTCAACGAAATTCAGTAACTTTTATTAAAATTACAAGAATTTGTTTGCTAAAAAGTTGAATAGAAATCGATAAATTGTTCCATAACTGTAATTATTAATTAGAATCTAAAAAACATAAAGATAGCTTCTCTTTTTTTTAGAAAATTCTAACGTTTGTGTATGAAAAGCGAAGTGGATGTGACTATTATGCAAGAGAAAACTCACAAAACCTAATAATTATTATATTTACAAAGCTGTTGACATTGGGATTTGTTTACTTTCTCGGTATTTCTTTAGTTTTAGATATCTACTAGTATATAGATGAATAATTCAATAGCAGCATCGACAGCTGCTTTATCGGAAAACTTAACCTCATTCTTTTATCAAAATTTAATCGTTCATATTCAAGCAATTCAACATCAAATTATTGAAATTACAAAACATCTTGATATTAAATGGAACAATAAAAAGATACGAAAGAAATTAAAATCACGTTCAATAACATTTATTGATCCATATGGAAATCTAATAACTAATGAATATATGGACCATGAATTAATCAGTACATTGTTTAAGAAGTACAAGAAGAATTATGTACCAAAATATTTACACAAATGGATTAAAATTGGAAAAATGAATGATAATATTATCTTACCTTTAAAAGATTATGAACTAAAATCACCTGTATCCAAATATCCTGATGGTTATCAACTTATTACATATGGTGAATTGAATGTTTTCATAGAATACCGTGAAGATATAATACCTGAAAAATTTCTACTATATGTTTTGTTAACAGATTCTATAGAAAAAATAAAAATACAATTATATAATCTTCGAAAACTACCGAACACAGAACTGACATTGTCTATATTAGGTCGAAGTTTTCAAATACTTAAGTCCAATGATACGGTATTGTCACGTCAGTTATATGAAGAAAATCATATCATCACAGCACACGTTTTGCAAGAAAAAGTAAATTATTGATTTTTTTTCTTCTATTTTACTTCACTTGTTTTTCTTTATAGATCGATACTGCAGAACCCACATCTTATTTTATGATTCTTGTGAAACTTCTTACTGGACGCACACTCATGTTATATGTCAATTCTGATATGACTATAGCTAATGTAAAACACTTAATTCACGAGAAAACAGATATTCCTATTGATAATCAACGCGTAATATTTACTGGAAAACAACTTGATAATGACAGAACTCTTTCAGAATATAAAATAGAACATCTAGCTACACTTCATATGGTAGAACGATTACGTGGTGGAATGTATCATTTTACTAGTGGACGAATAGATTTTGAAGAAATGACATATACAGGCGCTGTTGAACCTATTAAAAATATTCTTGCATTCGATTTTAAACAGTTGAATCATCCTGAACTTGTATCAATAACTGAACTACAAAATCTTGTTTTACAAGGACAAGTTCTTCTTTCAAAATTATATAATATAATTAATGAAACTTTTATATTTGATGATGTTCCAAATTTAAAAAACATTATATTATTGAATGTTGCTGATAATGAAAATGATTGTGAAGATGATCATGATGATGTTTCAAATGAACGATTATAGTCAACTGTCGAAAAACAATTACAAGTATTTCGACTATAAGAACATTATTTATATAAAGATTTACTTATTCAAGAAAAAAATGAGATTTAGTCAAGAAACTCAACAATTATTATTATCAAGTATTGAAGATCGAAAAGATATTGATTGAATGGATGTTATAGCTGATTTACGAATTAAATTAATTGAAAAAAAAACCATTGATGAAGATGCAATAGAAAACAAAATTCAATATATTTTGAGATAAATATTTTTCTCGCTAATTACATAAATTTAATTGCGACACTTTTGCTTAGAAAAATATTCCTATGTATTTAAGAATTCTTTGTTTTTTATTGTTGAATATTCCATAGTGCTCATCACTTACATTCAAATAATGAAGAATTTCATAATTTATCTCTTTATATTTGACATAATCGTACAAACCAAAGAAATCTTCAGGTTGGTAATCTAGCAGTCAACATTCTATTAACCACTCTTTCGTAATCTTGTATTACAATTTAATCAACTACTAGATAGTTATTAACATCATGTTGATATAATTACTGTTTATATTGAAGAAGCTCAAGCACTTGATGAATAGACAGTTATTAAGAAAAGTCTTTTTTTTCTTATAGCCGAATATGTTGTGTTCAACTGAAGTGTAATGATGATCGAATTTGTATTGCCGATGATTTTATCAAATCAATGAAATATCGAATACTATTATTAATTGATCCTATATCAAGAAATGATCCATTTAGTGAAGTTTATAATTCATGACCAATGCTATTTTATGTTATTGATCATATGAAAAAGTTAGGTTCTATAGCTCGACCAATTCAAAGTTCCTTTCCAATAAAATTGATTGATAATGCATTAAATGATGCTATTCAATAACATTAATAAAAGCTTTCTTTTTGTTGTTTGAGAAATGATAATTATTATTTGTTATTGTGATATTACAAAATTTAAAATGATATTTTTCGTTGAAAGCATATTTACTATACAGACGAATAATTCATAGATGTTATTTTTTTTTATCAAAATGACACAAATAATCAATTCTAGAGAAATTCAATTCCTACTCGTTTTTTAATCAAGATAAATAAAAGTGTTGTTATCTACGAAATATTTGACAATAATTGAAATAGAATCAAATTGATTCCTATTATAAGAGAATCTGAAACTTATTATTTTTAATGATTGAAACAATGTTGAATCTCTCAACAACATTCACTTGTATCAATAATTCAATTTATGTTCTTTTTTTTCGTAACATAACTTCCGATTGTGCGAATCTTGTTAAAGTATTGTCTTTCATAAATCGCGTTCACATATTTTATATTGTTGTTCGTAATTTTTGGAATGCTTCTTTCGCCGAAGACTTTTGCTATAAATCAAAAAAGTGACTGTGAATGAAGCAGTTTATCGATATATTAAAATGCCTTACTGGAAGAAATAAAGTGATCAGCATAGAAGAATGAATCGTTAATACAGTTTTGAAAACAACAACAGATAGTGATGGGCCGCCCAGCAATTTTAAAATTTAAAAATTTGCGAAAACTCACGTAAATGAAACGATAGTTACGAAACCTATGCGAAAATAGATCCCTACCGCGATCTACTAGACTCTTCTGTTACTCTTCCGTGACTTCGTATTTTCTTACGTAACATTTCGTTTCTTACGAACCTCTTACGGCCCATCCCTAGTATCCAAAATAGCCTCTCCTTGAGCAACAAAAAAGATTAAGTCCAGACTTTTGCAGTACCTCGTTATCCTACCAATGGTAAAGTAGTTACCTGTGCAACGGAAGCTTTTAATCTTTAGCCAATTCCTATTCCGATGAATGTCAAATCAATTCTAAGAAATGGAATCATTGTATCCCTAGATGTTACTATGAACTTTTTTTTCATCATAATCAAGATATTGATGTTCATTGTGTAAAAAATATTGCTTTTTACTATGGCTATTAAAGAAAACCAAGAAAAAAGGGCAAAAATTCATTTGAGTTCTTCTGTATTTAGATCATAATCAAGTTTAAACTAATATTCAATCCATAAGACAATTTAATTGTTCTAGACATTGCAATGAAATATAAAATTACTCTCATTTTCAATAACTATAAATGTCTAATTATTCTTGATTCTACATGAAACAGACGATGTAACCAAATCTTCGACTGGAGAAGTAATCTCCGACTATGGATGGGATCAGTTTGAGTTTGTCAGACTATTTAGAGAAAAATTTTGGAAAAACATCGCATTGAATGCAATCGATTTTTTGGTCAGTTTAATTTACCATCAGTATTATTCAAAATTTCAATTGAAATATTATTTTTCACAGAAAGTAGATAGAACACCATATAATCTGACTTCGTCTTGCCAATAAAATTTTATGTTTACAATTGTTGTACCTTATAGAAATGATTCGCAATACGATCCGTATCTATGTATCTTTATTCAAACATTGATTAGTGTAAATACAGAAAGGCAAACAACTTTTTTTTGAAAATCAAACTTCGTTTTTAATTAGAAATTTTCTTTATGAAATTTTTATCGATTAGTATCAATAAACATGATATATGTTAATCAATTAAGTTGTTATAGAAAACTGAATCATTGTTCAACATAGTCATAGAAATCGAAAGATGATTTAGAAATAAATCTATTCTATATTTATTTTTTATACAAGAAATAAACAAATAACAATAAGATGTATATTGAATGGACAAAAAGAAAAATATTCTACCACATATCAATCTATCTTTTTAACATCAGAACGTCATTGACTAGCAGAATAACGATGAATAGATAGCAGCAGCAATTGAATCGAGTGTGATCGATCTGAAAACATGTCGTCTCGTTTGTATCAATGCGTCAGCAAATATTGCGCAACATATTATGAATGTTCAGCCTCCAGTTTGAATCATCGATCGCTTATTTGAAGACATTCAGAACAGTTTGATTATTGTGAACAAAATATATTCAAAACTATCACTTGTCAAGATTACATGTTCTTGATAAATCATAGTTGGTTTTGTCAATAATTTATGCATTATATTCATCATTTTTGACACATATCTACTATCCAAATCCATCTTCAAAATGTCTATCCATTTCAAGAAAAATGACTGGTCACCTAACTCGATTTCGGACAGATATTGTTTTCTTATATGCATCACAATACGAATAGTAGAAAAGTAAATAATGATGCAACACAAAGACAGTATGTGCACCCGCAACTTGTAGAAAGCCGAGTCGTTTCTGAACTTCCATAATTGTAACCAGCAGGATTGAGTAGATTTTTTTCTTTGTCTGAAGCTCACACGCATGAAATCAGAGTTTGATTAGATGCAGAAAAAAAAGAACTGGACAGAATTGTCTAAGTTTTCAAATGAAGTAAAATTTATTAAAAGATAAATAATCATTTAAGCAGTTTAATGGAGCACGGTCGAATCAGAACACATTGGCCGTTCACGCATAATGGGCCACCACAGGACGGTCCTGTAGTTGTAGGGCAATCTATACAGTCTGTTTGCGCTGCACAAAAATCATCCATAGTACATTTTCCTCTCAGTTGCAATGAGCATGCATCAATTTGACCACAATATCCATTGAGACAAATTGGAGTTGAACATGTTGGTCCTTTTCCTTGAGCACAGACGGCACACTTTGGATTCGGCTTTGAACATTGGGAGTCGAGTATGCAGGAAGCCGAAATTAAATTCAATGTCGCACTGCTCAAGAGCAGGAGAACAACAAGAAAAGTTGAAGAACAAAAGTACATCATTATTGTTTGTTATACGGATTGTGACGATTTTATTGTATTTCTATTCACCATATCGTTATCGGATTTTGCATTTTTCTTTCTCTTGTTGATGTGTATGAAAAAAAAAATAATTCGGAAGATCGTAACTATGTATCATTTTTTTCAAATGATATTTGGCCCAATACAAAAAATAAAAATGCGAGAGAAAGAACAATGCACATATATAATTAGCTATCAATCGCTAGATGATCATTAGACATGAATAGAGAGAATAATAAAAAACAGATGAAAAAGAAAACATCAATGCTTGCAATCATATCAAACATATGCGCGTATATTTTTCCTTGAATCGAATTATTTTTTTGACGTTTACATACGACTCCTGTGTACAATGAGCCTTGAAATTAGATGCAACAATGAGATAGGTATCCATCGAACCGTGAACAAATGGTGACCATGTGCACATAGTCAATGTTCGACGATACATGTTTTTACTAAATAATCAGGTTGTCTTTTTCAGTAATGCGATACTTGTATCAAACTTTTTCATGATATTCTCTCTATATTGTATCGCGCAGAAAACGACAGGGAAACTAAAACATGCTTATGAATCTTGTCACACAAATGAAATCGAATCGAACGAAGTGAAACGATGTTGATTATACTCATTTGATAAATCATTTGTAATAGAAGCAGCAAAAAATTTTTCAATAAACATATTGTAATACGAACAAATCTATCTTCTTTTCAAATACACAATCCTAGGAAGAGTTGCAAATTTCCTAATGATGAGTTTAGTTTGAGATACAAGTAAACGAATAACAGGATAATATGTGTTGTGTGCTATAATATTCATTTAAAGAAATGAAAATTGAATTAAAAGAAATATGTTAATTACACTTTTATCAATTGCTTTTTTTAATTTCAATTTTTAACAAGATAATATTAATAATTTTGATAAGAAGATGAACTGAAATATGTAAAGAAAAATATCATAAGACTCAAACATTATTAATTTCAACGATATACAAACGTTTTTGTTATTTAATTCATATGAAGTTCGAAGTATAGAAGAGAAAGAATAGGAGATTTATTTGTATTTCAAGAGTATCATAATTTGACTGGATGCTAAAGTCTATATATTCCATAATGAATAATAATGATATCTGGTTTGGTTAAGTTTGTGACAGATTGTATTTACATAATAGAAAAGATTTATAGCTCATAGTACAGTACGAAGAAGTCTCTTTAC